ACGATATACACTTCAGAAAAACAAAGAAGTACCGAACTAATCCCGGAGGATAGGATATCCGAGGCCACATCAGCACCCCTTCACATCCCAGATTGCAAGTTCACAACCCAGGGTTTACCATGCGTTCCCTGGCCACAGCCCTGGCCACCCTGATGGGAGTTCTCTACCTCCTTGGTAGAGCCAACGCCAGCGTCATCCCTCGCGGAACCCGTGAGATCCAAGGATGGTGTTGCTCATCGGACTGCAGCGTATGCAATGACGGCTCAGTCCACTGTCATGACGGAGACCACCAGACATGTTTCGATCTGACAGGGGTTAGTTCATCTTCAACTCTCAACAACTTCTTTTTCACCCAAATATAGTATCCTGAGTATCCTGGGCTAACTCTCATCTCCCAGTTCAACGAAATCATCACGAACACTTGTTGCTTCCTGGAGACCGAAGTTGACGCCAACGGACTCGAGAAGCACTACACTCGTAGCACCGGAAAGGAGGTGACTTTCCTGGCTCAACCAGAAGTGGTGTCCGTAGAGAATCCTACTCGATCTACCGAAGAGAAGCGAGGGTGGTGCTGCAATCGCAATTGCGATACTTGCAGGGCCGACTCGCCTCCCTATGGTCAGGATGACCAGTGCGATGACATTCCAGTGTTTGTAAGTCTTCGGTTCCCTTCATCGTTTCTCTAACGACAAAGCTGACGCTTTTATCCCAGCGTTCCTCGCAGATGGATACCTGTTGCCAACTTGAGAGCAAGTTGAGACTAGACGGAACACTGGAGTTCACCACCGCCATTGGAAAGGAGGTTGCCTTCCTGGCTCCCGCAGAGGCGGCTTCCGTACAGCCCGCCAGTCGGTCCACCGACAGGAGGAGGCAAGGGTGGTGCTGCACTCGTAATTGCAGTATATGCAAGGCTGGCGGACCAAACTGCAAGAAGAATAAAGAATGCGATAGCACTCTGAGATTTGTAAGTCTTGGGCTTCATCTATTATTTCTCCTGCCGCAGAGCTGATACCATATAGTCCAGGATGCTCCACGGACAGACACCTGCTGTCAACTTAAGAGCAAAGTGAACTCAGACGGAACACTGGGCTTCACCACCGTCACTGGAGAGGAGGTCAAGTTCATCGATTCGGAAGACACGCCATCTGAACCATCTCTGGCAGAGCGCTCAACACAGCCTGTCTCTGAGGTCTCCACAGAGACCGCCAGGAAGAAGCAACTCTGCTGCACTTCGGACTGCTGCACATGCTACGGCGGAGATATCCACTGTCTGACAGGCGCTGAATGTCATGACGTTGCCACAGTCGTATGTATCAATGTCTCATTTTCGAACTGGGACGTCAGGCTAACTCACTGTCTCCGTAGGATGGGTCAGATGTGCACACTTGCTGCATGATCATCACGAAGCTAGACGCAAGCGGAGCCGAGAAGCTCTACACCCCGATCACCGGCAAGGAGGTCAAGCTCCTCCCTTCACCTACAAGCGGTCTCGCGGAGCGCTCTTTGCCACGTCCTGCCGTAGCGATTCCCAGCTTGGATCCACCTGCTGACCCTCCAAGAGGATGGTGCTGTCTCTCAGGATGCAACGCCTGCCTCCACCCCCCGAGCTGCGTGTCACCGGACTACATCTGTGATCGATCGGCTCTGGTAAGTCTTCCCTTGTTTTCTGCTCTCCATCACGCCCGACAAGCTTCGGTCAACAACCCGGCTCCTCTGAAGTAGCTAACCAATTGACATGATTCAGTTCAGCAATTGCTGCATGTTGGAGCGTCACAACGACGAGATAACAGGGGTCGAGAAGTACTATACCCCTATCACCAACGAGGAGGTGACATTCGCGGACTCGGAAGAGGAGTTCCTCGCACTACCTCTGGCAGAGTCTGTCCCTTCACCCGTCAACGTCAATGGTCCCACGGAGCGCTCTTTGCCAGATCCCGCTGTAGCGATTCCCAGCTTGGATCCACCCGCTGACCCCCCAAGAGGATGGTGCTGTCTCACAAGCGCCTGCAAAATCTGCACCCTTGACCCAGTCTGCCGGCCTCCAAACTACAGGTGCGGTGTAAGTCACTCCTCCCCATCTTCTGCTTCTTTCTATAAGGCACATGACACCAGCTAACCTTCCTGTTTTCGGCGCCAGTTTGAAGTCTGCTGCATGTTAGAGCGACGCAAGAACGAGATCACCGGGGAGGAGACGTACCACGCCCCCATCACTGGCGAGGAGGTGACCTTCATCGACTCGGCCGAGGAGTACCTCGCGCTGTCTGTATCTTCGTCGGGTCAAGAACCGGTTCCCACCATAGAAGTTCCAACGCGGGCTCTAGCAGAACGTCAAGCCCAGGGAGACCTGCCAAGGGGGTTTTGCTGTCTTCCGGGTTGTGGTCTCTGCTACCAGAAGTGCTCGCCGCCGGACTACGAGTGCGACCCGACGACTCCTCTTGTAAGTTTTATATCCCGTGTCCGCGCACAGAGCCTGAACTGCCCGCAAAGCTAACCACTTCTCAGTTCAACACATGCTGCATGGCAGAGCTGCGCAGGGATGCGAATGGAGAAGAGAAGTACCATAACCTGATCACCGGGGTCGAGTTGAAGTTCGTGGATGAACAAGATGGCTCCGTGGCATAAGTCGGGTATGTTTGTAGGATCAAGGACATTGGATCGCGGATTTTCTCCTCACTCTTTAACAGGCGTCCAGAAAGCGCATAGCAGCGAATGGTAGACATCATAGCATGAAACTTTGTCTCGCATATACCACGCCCGATAAGGCCGCCTTTTGTGTATCTGCGATCCGTCAGCCTAACAATGTGACTAACAGTCGAAGGACAGAAGTCTCAAAGAACCGGCCCGAAGACAGTGTTGTATTGGGTATTGTATTGGGGCAGGGGATGCGACCTTTTTCTTAAGATAAAAGAGATCGAGCATTGGGATGAAGAAGGGTTAAGTTGTCGGAGTGTCACGGCCCAGGGGTGCCAAAATCATGGGACAAAATTGTGGGCGTCAGGTCTGACAACAACCCGCCTGGGTCGTCTCCCCGCTGATTAAAAAGCAATCATCGCTGACGATACACATACCTGAATTGTCGTGATATCTCGAACCTCATCAGTAGCTCTCTCGGCAACGTCTTAACCGCACTATAACCTTTCCTCAAGCTGCCCAGGACGCCAGATACCGACTGGCCGTAATGACTCCACAGAAGACCAATATGGCGTCACGCCGAACGGCCCCGCCCCGCTGTCGCCGTGAACCAACCACCATCCTCCTGGATCTCCTTCATTGAACCATAGACTCACCAAATATCGCGTATATCTCTCGCTGTCACCCCCTCAAGCCTGAGGAGTAAGACATACAGCTAGACAAAGAACCAGGAGGGCATACGGAGTATACCGAGAACCATGGTCGCCAACGCAGTCAGTGCCGAACGCGGCACAGTCCACGACGCCGCCGCCAACCCCCCCAACAAGTCTCTCGAAGGCCACAAACTCCTCCTCCTGACAAGCACCCCGCCGCCAGAAGGCTACTTCGAGAAGCTCCGGGCCAAGTTCCCCGGCCTCAAGACGGAGTACAGGCCGACGGAGTGGCCCGCGAAGGTCCCCGGTGGTGAAAGCTTCACCGACGACCAGTGGATAGACGTCACCGTCCTCCTGACCGGCAACGCGTTTCCCGCGTCGAAGGAAGTCGCCCCCAAGCTGCAATATGTCCAGCTCCAGAGCGCGGGGGCCAACATGATCCTCAAACATCCCCTGTTTACCGACAGTGATGTTGCTTTTTGTACCGCCAATGGTGTTCATGGGTGAGTTCGCTTGCTCTGAGCAAGGTACATGCGGGCGGGCGCTGACGACGATATTGTGCAGGCCTCAGATATCGGAGTGGGTGATTGCCACGTTCCTGGCCCACCAGCATTCGAGTAAGGTCCCTCAAGCCGTGTAGAATCTCGTCAAACCGTGACCTAACTCATCATCAATCAGTCCCCGCCTACCTGGACATCCAGCGCCAAGGCACATGGAAGCGCCTCGGCAACGAAGTCGAAGACCGCGTCGGCAGAAGAGTGTACGTTCCCTCCCCATCTCTTCCCCGCCATGTGCCCCCATTGCTAAATCCCCACGTAGCGGAATCCTAGGCTACGGCAGCATAGGCCGACAAGTAGCCCGCGTCGCCGTAGCGATGGGCTCCGACGTGCACGCCTACACCCTGCACCCCAAGACCACCCCGGAGTCGAGGCGCGACGAGTCCTACTCCCCGCCAGGCCTGGGCGATCCGGAGGGCATCCTCCCTGCAAAGTGGTTCTCGGGCGAGTCCAAGGAGGAGCTGCACGCCTTCCTCGCCTCGGGGCTCGACCTCCTCGTCGTTTCCGTGCCGCTGACGGAGAAGACGCGCCACCTCCTGTCGCGGGCGGAGTTTGAAGTTTTGAAAGAGAAGAGGACGTACATTTCTAACATCGCGCGTGGGGGCATTATTAAGACTGATGATTTGATCGAGGCGTTGGACAAAGGGTTGGTAAGGGGTGCCGCGCTGGATGTTACGGACCCGGAGCCGCTGCCCGACGGCCATCCGCTGTGGAAGGCGAAGAATGTGATTATCACGCCGCATATCAGCGGGAATTCGACGGCGTATGCGGAGAGGGTGTTGGCTATTTTGGAGCAGAACCTGGCGCGGATCAGTGAGGGCGGGGAGTTGATCAACAGGGTTAGTAGGAGGGATGGGTACTAGTGTTTTGGGGGGGGATGTGTGCTATGTGCTGGGAAGAGAACATAATGTTCTGTGTAAGGGAGCGATATATATTCTTCATATACGGGGCTGTTCAACAGTTAAATGTGATTCCGAAGTACAGAGCTTAACGTTCCCACTCAGGTCTCGTATTATAGCTCCAAGATCAGGGGGCAAACGGGAAGCTCAGTAATCATCTGTCCCAACATTATTCCGCTTTATACCGTGCTTGACTCGCGACCTGTTTCGGGAGGTTTACAATCCAGAATAGCGGAGCCGATTTCCATCAATCAACTGTCGGACAGATGGCCGAGCGGTCTAAGGCGCTACGTTCAGGTGCAGTTTCGACTCCTCCCGATTCGTAGTCTCGCAAGAGGCGTGGGTTCGAATCCCACTCTGTTCAATTTCTTTTGCTGTTTTTGCTGTTTTTGCCCAACCGGACCTTGGTAACATTGCGCGATCAAAACTACTGCGACATTTTTGTCACGTCGCGACCCCTGCGCGCATTTCGCACTTTTATTTCCCTCAATGGCGTCATTAGTCTGCGATAAGCTTCGTATACTTGTCTGTTGTGACTGAGACGTAGCAATGAACGTGTGGACAGTTGTGACATGAATGCGGTCGGTCCAATGTGATATATTTCGCACGATAAAGGATGGACTTGTATCTTCCCATCTCAACGCCCTCCCACAGCGAGGATGTTGCTCGCGCCTCTTCTGACTCCTCGGCCTACCAAACAAATACTCGATGATTTTGGTCCCTTCCCCTCGAAAGGCCATTCTCCTACCATTACCCCCAACACCTCCCTCCTTAAACCACTCACGCTTTTGCTCAACCACCACGGACTTCGTCACCCAGGGCTTCCCGCCCCTCCATAGTCAATCGCCTCCGTTGACAAGCCGACCACTGCTACCAGTCTCGCTGCTGCTGCCGAGATAATCCCCAAACACCCTCTGCTCGATATCCAGGTCCTTCCACGCCGCGCCGACCCTCTTCTTCGCCGCGCGGCGGAAGTACACCCGCTTCCCCCACTTCCACGCCTCGATGCCCAAAAAGAATAAGAAAGCGGCGACGAAGACGATGCCCCACTCCCAGCTGATGCCCGTGTGCTTGAACACGACGTGGTTGATGACGGGGATGTACAGCGTCGGGAACAGCGTCACAAAACCAAAGAGTATAGCCCAGAAGAGGAACTTGTTCCGCCACACGTCGTGCATCCACTGGGTAAAATACTTTTTGCTGCCGGGTTGCATGCGGAAGAAGGACCGGCGCATGTCGACGAGCTCCCAGGCCAAGAAAAGCGCGAACCAGGTCAGGCAGGCGAAGGTCGTCGCGCGGGCGCGGAAGACGGTGTCGCACTCGGGCGAGTACTTGTCGTTGCAGTTAATCCCGAGGTTGCCGCCGCCCCAGGCGTAGACGCGCAGGACGAAGCTGGCGAGACACAGGGCGGCGATCCAGGTGCCGTAGACGACCATGTCGACGCAGAATTCCTTGGTGAAGATGCCCGTCTTGAGGTTTTGGGGCGGGCGACGCATGATGTCCGGGACGGCGCGCTCGAAGCCGAGGCCCATGTCGGGTAGGCCGGAGGTGATCATGATGATCCAGACGATCTCGACGGGGGCGAGGGGGAAGACGGAGAGGGAGCTGGCGTCCTTGAAGGCGAGGCCGATGAGGAGGGTGCCGGCCTGGGCGATGTTCTCGGCTAGTACGTGGAGGACGAATTTCTGGATGTTGTCGAAGATGCGCCGGCCTTCTTCGATGGCGGCCACGATGGAGGCGAAGTTGTCGTCTGTTAGGACGATGTCCGAGGCGTCCTTTGCTACGTCGGAGCCGGATTGGCCCATGGCTATGCCGACGTCGGCGCGGCGGAGGGAGGGGGAGTCGTTTACGCCGTCGCCGGTCTGGAAGGGTTTGTTAGTGATTTGTGTGACAGTTGTAGTGTTTGGGGAGGGTTGCTTACCATGGCGACAAACTTGCCGCGTCTGTGAAGAGCTTCGATCATCCTGACCTTGGTGCTGGGTGCACAACGAGCGATAACAAGAGGCAAAACGGGGAGCTCGTCGACTTGGTCGTCGCTCAGAGCATCGAATTCGCTGGCCGTCATGACCATGGCCGCGGCGATCTCGCGGCTAACCCTCTCCATGCGCTTGGGCAGGATGCCGACCTCGATGGCGATCGCCTTGGCGGTCTCGGGATGGTCGCCAGTGAGCATATGCACGGAGATACCGGCCTCGTGGCACTCGCGGACAGCATGAGCAGACTCGGGGCGAGGGGGGTCGTACAGGCCGATGAGACCGCGGAAAGTGAGATCCTGCTCGACCTCGGCACGCTTCTCGTCGCTGGGATCGTCGGCGATCTCCATGTCGACCTTCCGGCTGGCGAGAGCGAGAACACGCAGACCGAGACCGGCAAAGACCTCCATGTTGCGCAGGATCTGCTCGCGGAACTCGTCCGTGACGGGCGCGGCCTCCTCCGAGCCGTCGCCGCTGTGGTACCACGTACACACCTTTATGACCCTCTCGACGGCGCCCTTGGTGAAGGCGACCTGCTCGCCGGTGGCATTCTTCTTCATTACCGTCGTCATCCTCTTGACGTCGCTGTCGAAGGGGAACTCGGCGATCTCGGTCCACTCGGGCTTGTCGCCCTGCGTGAGGGCGAGCCTGTTCCACTCGAAGCGGCTGGAGAAGACCTGGATGGCGATCTCGGTCGGGTCGCCGCGGGCGTGCCACTTGCCTTCCTTCTCGAACACGGTAGCTAAGTTAGCCAGGGATGCGACGGATAGGAAATCCTGCAGACCGGCCTTGCTGTCTTCCAATAGCTGGCTTGGCGTGACGATGTCCCCTGCATCGCTGGACTCCTCCTTCGAAGTCTTGAAGTGGATATCCGTCGGCACGCGGGAGGCGAATCGAATATCGCCAGCCCTGGGATTGAACGCCTCATTGGAGTTCTCGACCGTGTACGTTCCCAGGGAAGGAATCCAGACTCCGCGCGCAACCATCTTGCCCTGCGTGAGAGTACCCGTCTTGTCGCTGCAGATATCCGTGACTGCGCCCAGAGCCTCGAGAGACTTCAGGTTGCGAACAATGACGTTGCGCTGAACCATCCTCTTCGTGCCGGCAGCCATGGTAATAGTCAGCACCACAACCAGACTAGCCGGAATCATGGACAATCCAGTAGCGACGGCATAGATAACGACTTCCTGCTTGGAATTGAACTTGTTCGCTCCCAGCACGACGATGGCGAAGACAACAGCGATGCAAAACAGCAGAATCGCAAGCTTGCTCAGCTTCTGCTGCAGCGGCGTGCCGACGTTGACGCCCAGGAACCGGCCGACAAAGTCGCCGAGTGTGAGGGTGTAGGCCTCGACGTACCGCGCCGGATGCGCCTTGCCGTTGTCCTTGCGCTTGACGGGGCGGACGCGGGAGTCCTTCTTCCTCAGCGCCGTTGCGATGGCGCCGATCTCGGTGAAGGTGCCGGTGGCGAAGACGATGCCCTTCGCGCGTCCCTTGGTGACGGTCGAGCTGCTGTAGGCGACGTTCAGGCGGTCTCCGGGACCCGTCTTCTCGTCGAAGGTGGTGTTCTCGGCCTTGCGGACGGGCAGGGACTCGCCGGTAAGCAGGGCCTCGTCGGTCTCGAAGTTCTTGGCCTCGATAAGTCGGATGTCGGCGGGGATCGTGTCGCCCGTCTTGACCTCAATAAGATCACCGGGTACGATTTCTCCGGAGGGGACGACCATCGCCTCCCCGCCGCGCACGACGGTAGCGGTAGGCGAGCTGAGCGAGCGCAAGGAGTCCATAGTCTTCTCGGCGCTGTACTCCTGGAAGAAGCCCACCACCACGTTGAGAATAATAACGGCAGCCACGACACCGCCTTCGATATACGATCCAATGCCGAAACTAACCGCCATGGCCATGATGAGCACCTTCAGGGGACTAAATCAGCTCGGTCTTTTTGCTCGGGACAGGATTGGGACGTTAAGTCTTACTAGAGTCATGGCGTTTGCTACCTGGGCGGCGATGATCTTGAGAGGTTGCGGCCCTTCCGCCTCGCCCAGCTCATTGCGGCCATAGGATTCCAAACGGGAGGCCGCTTCGGTCGGGGACAGACCGGATAGGGGCTCGACCTCCAGCTCCGAGGCGAGCGCGTCGTAGGTCAGGGCGTGGGCTGGCGCCGAGAGGGGTTTGTTGGACTGGCCCGAGACGTGGGCTACCTCCTCCTCTGGCTTTTCGTGTTGACCCATGATGTTGCTATGTGATGGGGTTTGGATATCTGATGATATCAGGGTCTACTAGATGGGGTGTACAACAATCGGTATAAGTGTCCGATGCCGTCTTCTCTCACTTGTTGAGTCTGTTGAGTAAGAGGGTTGAAATATGAAGAAGGTCCGTACTTGAGTTGGAACGGGAGACCGGCACCCTCTTAAGGGTCAAGGCAAGGCGATAAGCGGGCAAAGGATTCTCGCATCTTCTTGACGAAGGTTGTGGAACGGGACGACCGTACAGAATGTCTTGTCACCCTTGGCGTGCTGGGCGTACACGCACTGTGGATGTCTCGATGCTCGGCGTAGTCTGGGCATATCGATAACGACTTTCTTGTGGGTGAGGGTGGCGATCTCATCAGGTGAGTTCGCAGTTCCTACAGCACGGCAAAGTGCCTATCTCATGCCAATTTCTCAGGTCAGGGTGGTGCCACTTGCCTTTATCCCTCATCCTGATCAGTGTTCAAGCGAACGTGAAAGTCAGCACTCAGCCGGGTAGGCAGGGTAGGACCGCCCGTCTCCAGGTACGGCTACCGGGGTATGGATCCGGCTACACGGAAAGGCGGTTTCGGCGCCAAGCGCCGCCGTTCTCGGGAGTGGGGACGCCCAGACTGCATCGCCATGACGGCATCCCGGGAAGGCCACCCCACGTGCGTACAGGACGGCGCTCTTTGGTCCATTATTGAGGATTGTGCCGTCACTTTCCGCATCGTTGCGTGACTCTTTTCGTCACCGAAGCTCCCTTGCTGTTTCGATCCAAGATACAATGGTCGACGGAGCAAGATAGAGGGGGGAAGCGACAACTGAACTCTGGTTGTGGACATAAACTGATTCATTATTCCGTACCATAAGTGAGAGTGCCTTGAGCCTAGAAAGTTCTGGTCCAGCGGGCTTTAAGCTTTTCAACAAGCACTTTTTGATTTTTTAATATTCACCCTTCTCCGAACCATATTTCCCCTTCGTTTCAACGAGCCACTTGCCCCACGAAGCCAATAGAGGGCGTTGATCTCGACGACTGATCGTCCCAGACCGACTCTTGGCACGACTCTCACAACTTACCGTGCGGTATACGCCCAGTGTTGTGTAGTGCCTGTGCCTCGGAAGAAGCGTTGTGGTATCGAAACCAACCACAACTCCTCATGCAG